AGAAAGATTAGTGACATCAGATAAAAAAAATAGCAAGCTTTGAGGATAATTTGAAGAATTAATGAAGTGAATCAGAACAAAGTTTTCTTCCCTTCCCACTATGCCTCCATTGGAAAACAAACAAACCCAACCCAAGCCGGACCTGGAGATGTGCCTAACTCAAACATCATCAGTTTCAGCTTGATTCTACCTCTCCAGGAGAACATCCTGTACAGACAACACCAATCACACATCCACTTAGTTTAACAGATGTAACATATATTGATAACTAAAAGATCAGTTTGACCCTTTTTCTTGATCAGACACATGCATCTCAACAACCAGCAAACACCAAACCATTTATATATTAAAAAAACAAAACAGCTTCAAAATATACTGATTGTTTGAATGTTAGTAAAGAACTAAATGTAAACACCTTGCATTCAAACATTCAAATAACCAATGATTTCTAATGCAGGCAATGCTCCAGCAGCTGACCGGGAACTCCCAGCCCTAATAGATCTCATGGTCTGTGGCCAAGCTTTTGATGTGGGATTTTTTCCACTTCTCAAAAGCATCAGGACAAAGCATTACAAAAAGGAAAAAAGCCCTAAAAACCCCATGGTAGGAACCAGGAGGTAGTTCTTGCCTTTCCATTTGTGAGAAGCAAGCAGTTTAAAACTTCCTTTCCTGCAAGCAAGCACTGCCAAAACTCCCACTGCTTTAACTGAAACCAGGATTTCACAGACAAGGGGTACTGGATGTTCAGCATGGAAAGCAGGCATTTCAGATGCAAGGTAATATGCCATTCTTCACCATCAGTTTAGGATAACAGCTAGCACTGTCAGACAGCTCTCTTCTCTCCTAGTCTGGCTAACCTTTCAAGAGGGTGGCAGCAGCAGCACTGCCCCAGAGAAAGCACAGCCAGGATTTCACAGGACTCTGCTTTGGTTTATTGCCTCCAACCCTTCAGAGGAAGAGTCTCCCTTCCCCCTCCTCCATGCCACTGCAGACTCTTCTGGGCCCCCTTCTCACTGGAACACTGCAGCTTCTTGACAAGTTTCTCTCTGGGCACCGCCAGGGAAGCTTTCAGCATCGCCTGGTGATCCACAAAACTACAGTGCCAACACCTAAAGCTTCCACTCACACTCTGAGAAGTGAGGAACACCTAAAGGGACTTCTTCAGCCCCACAAGCTCAGCCCACTGGCAGCTGCCCACCCTTCCTAGCACTCCCTTCTCCCTGGTGTCCTTACCTCACATGGCTGGAGCTCGGGGGCAGTGCTGTTTTGGGGCGAGGGAGTCCACTGGCTGGAAATGCTGACTTTGACATTACTGAATGTCTTTCTGGAGGCATGGAGCAGGGAATAACTGCCAGGAAACACACAGACAGAACACAGGTTGGCCCAATCTCCTCTGGAGAAAAGGTGGAAATACAAATCTCTGAGCACTCAGCCTACCTGAAGAAGGTCAGCAGGAACACAACAATGTGATGGTGGGTGCAGTGGGACACGAGGCCTCTGTTGGCAGGCTGCCTCCGTAAGGCTCCAGGCACAGCCATGCTCTGTTCCTGGCAGCCCTAGCCCCGCTCCTGCCTTGGCCACGAGGGCTGGAGGGTGATTAAGTCATTCTTCTTCTCCTTTAAACAGAAGAAGATGGGAAGGGAGGAGAAGGGAAAACCAATTTGAAATAAAACATGTGTATGAAGTACAAGCAGCTCGAATCCAAATGGAACAACTCCATGCCACACCTTTCCAACTTGTTTCACACCACTCCCCATTCATCACTTGTACATTAAGGTGTTTTGTCATTCCCATTCTCCCAGTACCCTCATAGCACTTCTTTTTTGGTTCTCTCCTAGCAGATGCCTCTTCAGTGCCCAGGACCAAAGGAACACCCCCTGATCCACCAATTTCCAGCATTTTCCCATTACAGACCATTGTGCACCATTTACACACATGGTGCACTACAGAGTGACCATAAATTAGAGCTTTCTGCTGCTACCTGGCTGGACACAGCCAGGTGATGAAGCCACAGGAGCAGCATTTGGCTATGGCTGGAGAAGGGTTTTGAAGGGATCTGACTGCCTCACCAAGATGCTGTTGAAGGAACATGCCCAAGAGTGGACTTGCAGAGATGGAAGAAGGGAAGTAGCTGTGAGGACAGTACTGAAATCCAACAGCCGGAATCCTTTCCTGTTCATTCTCAAGCCTGACATTACAGCTCCAGCAGTCCCTAACTCATCAGTACAGCACACAACAAGTCACACCATCCTGTCCCTACAGGACATGGGTGTAGGGCATGGGTGACACCTCAACCTCCAGAGAAGCAGGAACTGTCAGTACTGAGGGAAGGCCACCACAGACACACAGTTTCCTCATGTTGCTCCATGTCACACCACTCCAATGCCCCAGCTGAGCTGGCATGGCCGAGGGATGGTGTTTGCTAACAGCTTTTGGGAAACAGCCCCACTGGGCAGTGAGGGGATGAATCTCTCTCCACACATTTCAGAAGACATGTCAACACCACAAACACTCTGAATGCTGAGGAGAGGTAAACTGAAGCACCACCTCCGTTCCCCCAAAGCATCAGCACTGAAACAAGACAGAATATAATGCCTTTGAGTCCTTTTGTATCCACAGGTGCTTTTTGTAATTATTTGCACATCTGACAGAAGTCTTTTCAAGTTCAGCTTCATAACCTCACCTGGAGAAAGTAGAAGTCATTGCCCAGACAGTCTCTCATCCAAATTTCTGCAGCTGAAAACTCTTTATTTCACACAGACTTTTTATTTCTGCTTTTAAAGCTTTCATCAAGACATCTTGCACTGCAGGCAGTCTCCCTTCCCTGTTCTCCCAGTGGTGACACATGCCTGACCAACAGCAATACCCAGCTACTGCTGGATATGTGAACCACTGTGAAAACTGACATCACATCTGACCTCCAAAACAGAGCATGGCATGGAGATCCTCTGAGTAACAGGGACCCAGCTATGACAGCTTTGAGACACCAGAGTCACATTTATCCTACATCTCCCTGAACCCCTCCATTCTCTTTCAGGGCGAATGCAGTGAGTCTGTACAAGACCTGGCACCATCTGTCTCCACACAGCTCAGGAGCTCTTGGGCCACCCTGCCACTGCTCCAGCTGGCACACAGCACCTCCTTGTAGGCACATGGGCCTAGACTGCTTGGGCTCACACAGAGGAAAAAAAAGAAAAAAAGTGCCTACAGCTGGAGCTGTGGGAAGGCCAGACCAGCCCTGAAGAGGCAGCTTTGCAATCTTGATACTCCCTTGACTTGAGGTCCCAGCACCAGCGAATGAAGACCCAGCACCCACACAAGCACCACAGTGCAGCAGTAACCCCGCAGCCCAGGGCTGTCCCCGCACAAGCTGTACTGAGAAGGGAAGCCAAGGCACTCCAGTTTCCCAGCTCCAGTCCTTGCAGGCTGTGAGCCACACGGTCTGCTGGTCAAACACAAAAGGTTCCTTGGCTCTCCCTCCCCTCCCGCCAGGCAGATAACAGAGCTGTCCCCAAGAAAGCAAAACACTGCCAGTTGTGCAACGCTGTGGGGAAAAGTTCCTTCCTTGGGTAATCAGTTTGCAGCCCAAAGCACAAGATTTACTACTTGCTTCATGTCAACACATGCAAACGTAGATCTTATTTGTCCAAGATACGGAGTCCTTTTAAAGCTAAGACCTGGCATGACCTTAAAGTCACCTGATTTTTTTTAAACAGCATTTGCTATCGAAACAATCTGTTCCTCAGAGCTCCCCAATCTTAGGTCTTCTTTCTAGAAGGCTTTCTGGCACAGGACACTTTCACAGCATAGAGATAACCACGAAAGACTCTGTTTTCCCTCTGTCTTCATCCTATACTCAAAACTATACTCAAAACTGGCATTCTTCCTAGGCTAGAAAAGTCTGCAACCAGTTTTTTCTTTAAAGTTAGTCAAATTATTGTGAGGACACCATGGTAACCGTGGTGGAGGAAGAGCAAAAGCTCAGCAGCAGGATGACCCACAGAACTCAAGGCAGCGAAGCACATGCCTTTAAGAAAGGAAGAGGAGTGCTTTTAGAGCGTTAGACTGCCTCATCTTACTATTCAGCACTATTTACCTACAGCCAGCCAGTATTCTGAGTAAGCTTTTGATAGGCTTCCACCCTTATTTGTTAAGTTCTCCTCAGTGTTCTCCCTTATCCTCTCACTTAAAGGTAAAATAAAACACCTTAAGTTCAAAATAAACACCCTTAATGCTACCCTACTGCCCTCCAAAGCCGACAGGAAAGCGCAGCCTTAACATCCCAAAGTGCGAAACAAACAAAAGGACTTTTTTCTTCAAAATAATAACAATTAAAAAAAAAAAACAAATAAAACCCCATCAAACCCCTAACCAGCAGCCCCCCACCCTCCTATGCCATTTTTCCAAAGAGAAGAACAGCGGCACGGCCGCAAACCCACCCAGTGCCCTCGCAGCCGGCACAAGCAGACCGTGTGTCACCGCGATGCCCGGCCGGGTGCTGTCCGGGGGGAAGGACAAGGGGCTGCCCCGAGCACCGCAAGGCTCCGAGAACGCTCCGGGCTGCCGGGGAGGCCCGGCCGCTCTCCCGCCCGGCACCGCAGCCCAGCCCAGCCGAGGAGGGGGCGAGGCCACGTCCTCGGCGGGGCGGGGAGCGGAGCGGAGCGGGCAGCGCACGGCAGGGCAGGGCAGGGCAGGGCCCGGCTCCGGCTCCGGCTCCGCCACCGCCGCCGCCTCACGCCCCGGGGAGCCGCCCGGCCCCGCGTTCCGTGCCCGGCCCCGCGTTCCGAGCCCGGCCCCGCGTTCCGTGCGCGGCGCCCAGCGCGGCCGGAGGAAGTCGGCGGGCGGGGGCGGCCCTTCCGGGCGGTCCCACGGAGCGGCGGGAGCTGTAGTCCGGCCGCGGCCGCCGCCGGGGCCCTGCCCGCCCCCTGCGCGGGGCGGGAGCGAGCGGCCCAGCCCCTGCGCGGCCCGGCCGAGCCCGGGGCGGGGAAGGGAAGGAAAGGGAGGGGAGGGGGCGGACTACAGCTCCCGCCGGCCCCGCGGCAGGGCGGCGCTACCTGTCCCGGCAGGGCAGCGCCGGCAGGTGAGCGCCTGGCACCGGCTCCTTCCTCGGGCCTGCGGCTCCTCCTCCTCCCCCGCCTGGCCGCAGGCCCGCCCGGCAGCCGCGATGCCGTTCCCCAGCTCCGGCGCGGACGATGCCTTCGACTACCTCTTCAAGATCATCCTGATCGGCGACTCCAACGTGGGGAAGACGTGCGTGGTGCACCGCTTCAAGACGGGGCAGTTCAACGAGAAGCAGCAGAACACCATCGGCGTCGACTTCACCGTGCGCTCCATGGACATCGACGGCAAGAAAGTAAAGGTCGGTGGCGGGAGCGAGCCCCGGGCTCCGGGCGAGCAGCGCCTCCGCCGAGCCGCCCTTCCGTGCCGGTGCCAGGAAGCCGCGGGACGCACGGCACCTCCTGCCCGGCCCTGCCGAGGGCAGCTGGCAAAAGCTGGCTGCCTTTCTAAACAGGGGTGTTTCCCAGTGGAGTTTGCTCTCAGGAAGATGTCCTGGGGGAAGCAGTCACCCTAATTTGGGTACATACTTGTTCTCATGACTTCTCGGCATCTGCTTGAAGAGAGGGCTTGTGCTTTGCCTGCAGGGAGTTCTTTGGAAGAAGGCTATAGTTTGGAGATGTCTCTTCCCCCCAGAGATATGAGGGTTTGAGCTGGCACACCAAGGAGGGAAAACCCCCAAAGTTTGCAAAGGCTCCACTTTGATGTGTGCTTAATTTGAGGGAAGAAGACTTCCAGACAAGCACCAGAAGAAACTGTCAGCTAAACCTTCCCTCTGTTTGCAGATGAAAGTTAGGATGCCTGGATTTTACATGTAGATTTGCTCTGCCCTCTGTGTTAGGGTTCTTTGCTCTTCTTCTTGAAAGGCTATAATGTTCTGTGTCTTTTACTACAGTTGTTGAAAATGGGTTTCTTGGCCTCTTTGGAAAGCTGAGTCTACCCTTGGAGCTTTCTCTTTGGTCTGTGTAGACTGACTGTACAGGCTTGTAAATGGCTTTTTGGATCTAGGGAGGGCACAGCACACTGGTAGAGTGAGCTGGGACAGGTCTGGCTGCCTTCTGCTGAGGGCAAGCACACAGGAAAGTGGTGCTCAGGGCTCTTTACAACTTCTGTCCTTTCTCTTACAGATCCAAGTGTGGGACACAGCCGGTCAAGAGCGCTTCCGGACAATAACCCAGTCTTATTACAGGAGTGCCCATGGGGCCATCCTTGCCTATGACCTTACTAGGAGGTCCACATTTGAATCCATTCCTCACTGGATTCATGAAATTGAAAAGTATGGTGCTGCAAACTTGGTCATGATGTTAATTGGTAGGATTTTAGTTTTAAATATTGTGTTATGTAGATTTTTAATATGGATATAAAATCTCCCTTGTTTCCTACCACTACTTGAAGGATCTATACACTGTGCATTAAGGAAGCATTCAGTTCTAATTAAAATAGATCACCAAGTGTATCATTTCAACCTAAGCTTAAAAAAATAAGGAGAGTCATATCCTGGTCCTGACAGAACCAAACCTATTGCAGACAGCAAAACCCTTTTGCAGTTGTTCCTTTCCTGCTGGAATAACCCAACAAGCTTTGCTGCCAGGCTGGAGGCAGGGACCACCTTGTTGAGGTTAGAACTGCAGCAAGCCTGACCCTGTACTCCTGCTGCACGGGAATGTAGCAGCTCAATAATTCACGGTGAAGGGGGATGCACAGACTCGTGGTTCTCATCTTTCCTCTCTGCTCTCTTGATATGCATGCGCTTTGCTCTGTAATGGGATTCCGAGCAGGTAAGACAATAGATGGGGAGATGGCTTTTGCAGAGCTGGAGTAGCCGGCTTGCATTCCACTGGCGCTCAGGAAACTGCCTCTTGGAGGAAAGCAGTGCTGGGAATTGCCGGGAATGGAGCTGGTAGGAAGCCGCGGTTCCTTTCCCTTGGGTTTCGTGGTTATTATTGCTGTTCCCTCCCCCAGGGAAGGAGCTGCGAACGAGAACGCTGGTGTGGTGAAACACCAGAGCCTTTCTTGCCCTTATTTCCATTGGCATGGCCGAGGCTGTTGCAGTGTGCTGGGAGCAGCTCAGCAGCGGGGCTGGGGCAGCGCTGAGCCCCAGGCAGGGCCCCTGAGCTGCTGCCTCTGCTGCCAGCACCCTCCTGCTCGTGCTGCTGAGATCTCTCCTGTCCTTCCTCTGCACCTGCTTCTAATGCACTGCTTGGAACTGCGGGCAGGGGAGTGTAAATCACTGCACTTTGGCTGGTTTTTCCTAACTTCTGTCATGAATCTAAAGAAAGATACTTATCTGTGTGTGGTGGGGGATGGTGGTGGTTGTTGGGGTTTTTTTAGGGAGAGAAGTTCTTAAATTAGTAAAAACTGAAGCTTTTGTTAGGATCCAGCTTGGTGCTTTCTTCCAAAGCTGGTGCTGTTTGCTTTTCTTACACTGGCAGAAATTGTTGTACATTTAATTACACTTAGTCACATTATACACCTTTCTAGCAGGAAGTTGAGGTTAGGAAACCTAACTTTCCTGTCTGGAACTGAAGGAGGAAAAGGTGGGTGGGTTCCTCTTAAGAAGGCAAATAACCCTCAAGCTGGGGTGTTTTTTGTTTTTTTGGGGTTTTTTTTGTTTGTTTGGGGGTTTTTTGTGTTTTGTTTGTTTTTTTCTTTTGTGTGGGGTAGGTTGGTTTTGGTTTTTTTTCCTTTTAGAAATACTTAAGGGGACTTTATGAGAGGGTAGTTACTTGATATATATTCAAGGTACTAATTTGATGAAAGGTTGTCTTTAAACTATAAATGTGGACTTCAGTCAGCTGCTATAACTGAATAATCCACATGTGCTGCAACTGCCTAAATATACAAAGATATTTTATCTGAGGTGTTTCATGACAGATTTTGACTAATGTGCTGCAAGTAAAAGTTTAATCTATACATGCAGAAACAAGTACATATTCTAGGCATTAAGGTAGCTGATCTGAATTCTTCTCTTTCTTTTTACATCACCCTAAAAGATTTTAAACAAAAAAATATTCAACATAAAGGCTATTTAATATTTAAAACCACTAGGGAACAGGACAACAGTTGCTTCTAGGTAATCTTTTACTTACACTAAGTAATCAGATGAACACAGGTTTTTAGTTTTTTCTTGGATTTAATCTCTTTTGCTATGATATGATTTGCTGCAGTTTTAAACCACAGTCTATATTTATGGCTCTGGTGTTCTCACATCTTGTTCTATGCAGTAACTCCTACTGCTAACATAAATCTATTGTTTAACAAAACTCAATTCCTGCATCCATTTAAAAATAAATTTTTGAAAGCCTAAGTGGTTGAAGTATGTCTTTGCCTTCTTTTAAGGGAACAAATCGGATTCTCTGGACAAGCGCCAAGTGCTGTTTGAAGATGCCTGCACCCTGGCAGAGAAGCACGGGCTCTTAGCTGTGCTGGAAACGTCAGCCAAAGAAGCTCAAAACATAGAAGAGGTGTTCACATTAATGGCTAAGGAGCTGATAGCCCGAAATACCTTACAGCTTCATGGGGAGAACCCTCCCAACAGCTTCAGTCTGGACTCCAGGCCAGTGGTTGCCAGTCCAAGTGTGGAGAAGAGCCAGTGCTCCTGCTGAAGAGAGGCTTCAGGGAGAACTTGGAAACTGCCATGCTTCTGAGGCTGTTTGATTCAGTTTTGTTCAGTTGATGAAAGTGTTTTATGTGGCCTCAAGCCATCTCTCTTGATATTTCTACCTTGCAGTTTGGCTTGTGAGTATTTTCAGAGATCACTGTTGTTGTTGGTAGCATAGGTTGCTTTGAACATAGCAATGTGAACTTCTGAGATGAGACAACTCAGGAAGCTGCCAGGCCTTGCCCTAACCAAAGAGAACTATAAAAGTTATTGCCTTTAATTATTTCCTTACATGTCTTTCTGGCTGTGTCAGAAGATAAATTTGCACCAGAGTTCTGCACTGACCCTTCTAAGCTGTGTTGCTGGTTTTCAGCACTTTCCTCTCTGCTGGTAGCTGTAAAAAGTCTGAGGCATGCTTGGACAGCACTAACCCACTCCTGCCTAAACTTTGATTTAGGAGCTCTCCGGAGGTCAGGCAGGTAGCCACCCATGCCAAGGAGCTTAATAACATTTGTGAAGGGGTAGAGGATTTCACATCTGCCCTGAGTTCCTCACCAGACAAACCTGGAGACATCTCAGGGGTGGCACAGCAGGCAAGAATATGATACACTTCTTCCTGGGGTGAGAAAAGTTGCCTTTCTTTGCTTTGTAATAGTCAGGATTATTTCCAGTACTGTTCTCCATCCTGCTACATGGACTTGCTGGGACAGCAAAGCTTCCAGTGAAAGAACCCTTTTTTTTTCATTCCTCCCTGATAACCTCATCTTGCTTTTGATGTGCTGATTTTAACCAAAAGCCTTCTGTATCTTGTGTGATGGGCCAATGGCAGCTTGAGAGTATCCCTGTAGATCTTCAAGGGAGTGTGAAGGATGGATGCAAGCTCTTGTAAAACTCAGCAAGGGGTGAGATGGTTTAAATTAGGCAAAAAGTTGAAATTTACATTGTTAGAGTGTTAAGGCAAGGGTGTGGGGTGCAGCAGAGCTGCCCTAGGTGAGTATATCTGCTGCTGCACTCAGTGGAGACTGAACATGGTGGTAGCAATGGAAGGTTTTGGATTGCTCCTCCCAGTCACAAGCTCTGCTACTTGGGGCTCACTTTTCTGAATACCTGAACTGAATGAAGGGTATGGGCTGGGTTTTTTTTGGTGAAGGTTTTGAGGTTGTTTTTTTTCCTGTTGCTTGCAAGTTTTTTTTCCTAGTAGATGGAAACAGGGAAGGAGGAAAGAAATGTCAGAGGAAGTTTTTTTTATGACAGTCCACATGTACCAAAGTGTATCATTTAGTTACTGTTAAGCTATGAACTGCAACTCCAACTCTGTAATGATAAAACACAGTTTGTGTTACATGCAAAGCAGCCTTGGGAAGGCTGGGGTGTTGCCAGCTTACCCAATGGCTGGCTGCCCCTGTTTCCTAAGTCCTTGAAAAATAGAGAAAAACATGTAGCAAGTATTGCTGGAAAATCTTGTCTTAGAAGCACAAAAAAATAAAGGAGAATGAATAATTAAGTAATAGTCTTGGAAATATTTCTGATGTTCTTAATGCTTCCTCTGGCCAGGTTCTTTGCTATTCCATGCCAAGGGCAGGGGTTAATTCAGCTCTGTGTAAGCTCAGGGAGGAACCTTCCATGCTTCCCTCTTGCCATAGCCTGCTGTGGAGAAAGCTTCATCTTCAGGCATCCTCCTTCTCATGTTCGCTTTTTAAATCTTTATTCCTTCTTCATTTTTACTAGCCTTGTAGTTGCATTTTGGTTTGCACATTGAAGCAAATACCATAACCTTTCACAGTGGTGAGCCAGCTTCCAAACAACTAGTTTCTACAGCTCTTGTTACTGCAAAAGCAGTCAAATGCAAGCTTAATATTTCTATTCCTGGTAGTAGTTTGTAATCCATAATTTTTACTCTTTTGTTTTTTTTTTTTTAGTATCGTCCAGAAGACTGCAATAGAGAAAGTATTGCTTTCCTCTCCAGTTACAATCTTTCACTGGTCAAGAATTAGAGGAAGGATGGTAGCAGCAGAGTGTTAACTTTCCATGGTTCATTGGGTTTACCACCTTAATTAGCCACTGCTGTGCAGGCTGTTGTGCTCTGAGTGCCCAGCACTGCCAGCTTTCAGGGCTCTTGCTGTTCCCTGCCCGCACACGTGGAGCTGCTGGCAAAGCCAGACCTTCTTGGCAAAAGCTGTGCAATTCAGGATCAGGGAGAACAGGCTTGTGACTGTTCCCTTTCCTTTAACAGGTCTAACAGCTTCCTGCTCCTCCAAGAAACTTAGTCTTAGACACCTACCCATTGTGCAGCTAAGCCAGGAGCGTGACCACTTTTGGTTGGTCCTGTTTGTGTTTTCCACAAGGCCTTTGGGCAGTTACACTGAGTGGTTTCCACAGAGCTGCTTTTCCAGCTGTCCTCCCATGAGTGAAGAGCAGCACTTGCTCACAAGGTTCTTTGGAGTACATTGGTAATGCTGTTACTTGAGAGGTAATACAGGAAGCTGTGAACTTTAAAAAAATCCCCTTAAAATTTAAAAAAATGCCTGTTATTCTAGACTGTGAGAACCACTAGATCAAAATACAGGCTCAGCATAATCTCTGTGGTTCTGCCTTTCCCCATCAGAGAGCAGATGGAAACACCCAGCTATGACAAGGCAAAGTAGCACTAACTCCTATGGAGCCTTCTGTTAATGGTTTGTTCCCCAGATCATATGCAAATTCCAAGTGCATCTTGACAGCATCAGTAATGCATTTGTACAAAGGGTTATAAGGTTGTTTACAAAGCTATTTTTGAAACTACTACTGCCCCACAGGTTTCAGTTTCAAGAGCTACACATTCAGCTTGAAGATGAGCTCATTTGTTAAGTTCTTATCTACTGGGAAAAAGCATTTGAATCTTTGCTATGGCACATTACTTTGCACTGGTGTCACAGCCAGGCCAGATGAGAAGAAGCATTACCTCTTGGTGGAATAGGGTAATAAAAATAATTAGAAAAATTTTAAATGTACCAAACTTGACACTTCCCAGAAGCTGGCTAGTTAAAAGCCACCACAACCCAGCAGCCCAGTGATGTAGAAGGCACACAGCACTGCCTATGTGGTCCAGCTTTGCTTTATGTGCAGGAGACAGGCTCTCAGTTACAAAAGCTGAGACTCTTATCTAATCATTCCAGTTAATGTTTAAGTATAGTTGGAAGGGAGACAATTTTCAGATGCTGAACAGAGGTGGAGCACTCTATCCTGGAGCCTTCTTTCAGGAAGAAGATGCCTGTGATTTTGGACAAGGAACTGGAAGTGAAGCTCCCCCAGCCAGGTGAGTGCTCCAACGGCAGCGCTGTTACAGGTGCCCCTTCCCCAACAGGCATTTTCCTGGCTCTCAGCTCCCAGAACCCACAGCTGCCTGCAGGTGTGTGGGAGGGGCCCAAACAGTCATTGCTCAGCAAACTGGCTCCTGAAATAATTTTCAAGCACCACTTTTAAGCAACTGTGTTGAGAACTAGAATTACACCAACAGGCAATGCTGGGATATCACACTCTTTCGAGAATAGTTCTAGACAGGCCAAGAGCCCCTTTGTCCTAAGAGTACTTCACCTTGAAACAGGAATTAAAAAAAAATCTTTAGAAGGACTTTTTCTAAAGCTGCTGTTGTAAATCAACCTTCACACAGCTGCCTGCACAGCTTCTGTGGATGCATTCACATCAAGCTGTTGTCAAGCAGGGCCTGACAGTGAGTGACAAACAGCACACCCATGTGTAACCAGAGTTGAGCATATTTACAATCCTGCATTTCCTTGCTACTGTTGTGTCCATGAACATCACTGCTTATAGTTTTCACTCCTAAGTCTAGTTTTGCTAACCTGAAGTGAGGCTCACCACAACTACAGTTTAATGCCTTTCTAATGCTAGCAATTAAACTGACTTTGTAGTTACTTGATCCCTGCAGCACAGTCCTGTATTGTATCTCAATCCTAAATGATTACATGGAAATTGCCTCATTTTAAATTGCTGCAGCATGAATAATTTCATCTACACAAGTTTTGTTCCAAACATGAGACACCCCATAGCTCATGTACCCTCCAAATACAAATCTCCTCTGTACCTGCAGTAGTAGGAAAGTTACTTTGTATTTCATTAAATGAACCAGGTATTTCCTCAAAGATTACAATCCACCTTGGGCCACACAGGCCAGCTGTGCTAGCATCATTTGAACTAAAGCAGCCAAAGTTGTAACAAGTGCTCTTACCTTGAATGATCACGTTCAGAGCAGGGAGAACAGTCAGCACACTTAGCCTGCACTTTCCACAGGAGGCAAAGGTTGTATCAAATGAAATGTATTCTGGCTAGGGAGTAAAGTCAAGGCATCTTAAGTGACAGCATCCATCTTTTTCTAAAGATTTTGGATTTGAAATTAAGATTCTGCTGGTGGAAGTTTATGGAGATGTTATACCCTTTCCTTGATGCTACTCTTTTCAGTTTCTGTACCTTAAGTATTTCCTTGAAGAGAATGTAGCACAGCCAGAGTTGTCATCCACCACCGTCTTACATTATAAGCTTAATTCTACTGAATTTATTGCTGTTCTCACAGAGGAAGAACATAGCAGCCTACTAACACACTTATCTCAGAGACCCTTCTATGTTCAGCTGTCCCAGACTGGGGCTGGTGGGGGTGGGAGTCACAGTGCCCCAGGCAGCTCAGACACAAGGCTCTGGTTGGGACAGGAAGCAGCACCCAGCAGTGCTGGCCTGGGGACAAACACGGGCAGTTCCTGAACCTGCACAACAGGAACCACAGCACAGTTCAAAGCAACAGGAGCTATTTGTCACGCTGCCTGTAAACACACCAGTGGCGTGCAGCTCCACCCAGCAGCCTCCACCATGGCACATCGCTCAGCTGGGTGTTCTCAGCCTCCTCTGTGATGTGTACAGGAGGAAGCTTTAGAAGCACCAGCAGCCACCTCCGTGCCACCCCTACACTTGGGCAGGGAGTAAAGCACACCACCCCTGACCCCTTATGAAAGCAAGCTCACACATGTGCTCTGGCTGGTAAGTTCACTGCCTTTTCCCACCTTATCAGAACAGAGCTTTGTTAAAAACTCACATTTGGATGAAGCTTTCCAATAGGATATAACTTATGTTCACCATGTAGGAGAGGGAGGCTTTAACTTTTTTCCATTTTCTCCCTTTTATCAGTTCAAAGTATCATTTGCTCAAATTACATTCCTTTCCTCCCTCTGCTACTTGGCCCCTGGGAAAAAAACCAAAAACAAACTGAACAAACCAAAAATGGCTTCACTCTGTTCACTTAAAACTTTTTTTAAATCATGTCCCCAGCATCTTAATAATGCTTCTAGCAGTTTACTTGCAACTTTGTGTATTTCTGCAGAAAAATGTTTCTATCTGAACACAAGCACATGGAGCCTCAGGAAGTGGCCTGTAGCAGTGCTTGGACTTGCTGCCCAAAAGCATTAAGATAGAAAACTGTGGGTAAGACTATGTCCTGCAGCTGGCTTTGTCCAGTGCAAATAAAATTAACACAACAGTGGAGGACTGACTTCTGAGAAAGCAAGACATGTCAGTTCTTACTAATGACCCCAGATATTCCTTCAATACATCAGCTCTCTCAGTTGTCCGTTTGGAATGTGTCTCTTGCGTTAGAGGCTCTTTGCTGGAAAGGCTCTAACAATGCAGGAATTCTGTACACAGTTCTGCAAGAGTTAAGAATAAGTGACAGAAATGCCTCTGTATTTACAGAAACACACATAAAAATAATCAAGTCAAAAACCAGAACCTTCAAACTGCAAAGAACAGACTGACTTCTTGTTTAAATTTTTTTTACTTTTTTTTATTTGGGAAAAGTGCTTCTTACAAAAGGCAGCTGCAAAACAATACGTTATAGACCTCAGAACAATTTCTCATTCCATTTAAAAGTGAAAGGAGAGGCAGTCTAGGGGACAAGAGCAGCAGGAGAACAGATCACGGGGCATCCACAAGTCAATAAAAAACAGCAATAATGTAATGCAAGGTTAAAATTCCTGTGCTGGGGCTTTGGTGGCAAAGTAATTTCTCAATGCAAATTACAGCCAGAAACTGCACGACTGCCTTTGTAAGCAGTAACTCACATAAACTGAACAGCTTTACCAGGCAACCTGCCCAACCCAGCTGCAGAGAGGCACAAGTACCTCAGAGCAGCTGGGAGGCACAGCGAGTTTCTAGCAAAGCTCACGGCTTAAGTGTTTACATGAAGTTCTAAAACTTACAGAGCGATAAAGCTAAAGGGTCCTCTCTGGTGTTCCTCTGACCCCACCTTGGCTAACCGGATTTCTGCTCCTGGACAACCCTAATCATACACATGAAAGAGAGCTGGTGTATTAGGGAGTGCCATCTATCAAGTTAAGCGATAATCAGGATAGTTTCCCAGTCTGGGCTGAGACCAGATTCATGTCCAATTGGAGGCAAGACTTCATGCACCAAGAGGGGGTGAAAGATGATTTTGTTATTTTTAACTTACACAGAGTCTCCCCATCCTTGAGGTCCAACTCTACATTTATCTGTATATACACATAGAGAGTTCTCCTTTCACAAAGACATTTTCCTTTCATGCTAAACACAGTAAAAATCCAGAACATTCACACCTGGTTCTGGTTACACAGTAGTAATAGTAATGTGCAAGTAAACAGAGACCAAAAGTCACAAATGAAGACGTGTACATGAGGGGGCTGGAACGGAGCTGATTCCAGAAAGAATTATTTGTATCTGGCCTGAAATCAGAAATATTGGTACAAAGACAGAATAACGGCCATCAGCCAATTAACATCCCCACTGCATGGCCACTGCTCATTTTTGTATCTGGGCTCTTCAAAATGAGTGTGGAATTCCTGTAAACACTTTAACCCTGGAACTGGGTGAACTCTGTTGGGTACACAGATGAAGCAACAAACCTAAGCTAACTGTTTGACAGTTAAATTCATTTTTACAAAAACTAACATTTTAAAGATTTATTTATTGTTATTTGTTGAAACAGAGGAAAAACAACACTCCTGGGGTGGGAAAGGAGGGGAAGGGAAGAGACAGACCCTGGGTAAAAGTTATTACAACAGCACCTGGAATTGATCGGCCTGCCTAGGAGAAACACAGGCACTGCCACAACACCACAGGTAATAGCTACTGCCTGAAGCCAAGACAACAGTCCACACTCCACTGACAGGTGCTATAGATCCAAATCATAATAATCTTCCAGCTCATCATGAAATAAGTCCCACTCATCCTCGGAATCCGTTAGCTCATCATCCCCTCCGGCTGCCAACAGCATCAGCAACATCTCACCGAGCTCAAAGGTCACCACCTCATCCTCGTCGGTTTCAAAGGGGTCACCGTTCTCTCGCTCCTCGATGAACTCCCAGAACCGATTCCTCCGCTGCGCCTGCAAAAGGAACACAAGGATTTCCCAGGTGACCCAGTGGTACAAAGCAGGAGCCTTTCCAGAGGCTGACATGCCCCCAGTACTTTCTGACATGCAAGAAATCACATTTTTCTTTCAGGGAGATACTGACCTCCAGCAGCATTAACCCTTACACACACCCCTATTACTGCTACCCAACATTTTTACTTCAGTATGTTGTAAGAAAGTTTTTTAAATTTAGTCTTTCCATCTTGGCCTCCAGCATTCACAAACTTTAGAGCACCGCCTCCTTCAAATTCACCATTACAGAGCTCTAGCAGAAGTGGAAAAAAGAAAAGTCAGTATTTCCCTAGTCTCTTCTCAAGGCAGAAGACATAATGCACACCCCTCCTGTGCTCTCTGCTGAAAGATCAATTAATCATCATCACTAACCCGGTATCTACTTGAGGTTCCTACTTTGGGTCTTTGCGGCTCCTCTTGGCGGCCATCAGGATATTCATGCTTGTAAAAACAGTTCCCTCCAAATGGACAGCTCCCACGGCCTTCATCAAAATACCTGCATGGCTTGTTGCTGGAAAGGAAAATATCCAACCCTTACTGACAGCACACCCCAATCAGACTACAGAACTGCATCTACCTGCAGTCCACAAGGATCTCGAGTACCAGGAGCAGAAGGCATTTTGTGAGTGGAAGACCTGCATGCAGAAATGATTAATTACACTCTGTGGGAACTGACACATGCAGAGGGACACCAATGGTGTGCAGTGCACGAGCTTGGACTGCCTTAGGGCTACACTACCAGTGTTCTGTGTAGAGAAGGGGAAGTCTGAGGTGAAAGAACACAGGAATAGCTTTGGGACTGTGTGCATGCATCTGTGGGCAGACAGGCAGAGATAGGTTTCACACATGGTGGTGGAAAGAAGGTGTGAAAAGGGGCTTTACATTAACACCCTTCTTCTCCATGTGTGCCTTTATCTCTGCAGTCTCAATTTGATAAAAAGGCTGCATTGCTCATACCTCATTGCCTCCTTGTATTTCTGAATGAGTTTCTGCTTCTCTTCCTTCTCCTCCACCCAGTACTCACTTGGAATGACAAAGTTAGACGTGATCCGGCATTCTGGGCAGGACCTGGGAAACGAACAGACTGTGCTGCAAAATTCCACGTTACAGGGTGCTCTCTCTCCTATATAACAAACCATGGCATATATCCATGTTTAAAGAGCTACTTGTACTCATATACTCGCTGTTAAATCTTTTCAATCTAGACTCTCTTGTAAGTGAACACAACCTAAATTCTCTTCAAGAACTCAATGGCAATGGCAGCTGGTCAGCTTATCTCAGAAAAGCTTGAAAAAACACTTCACACAGACTCCTTTTTCTTTAGAATTAAATAAATTTATTTTGGTATTTTTTCCTATATTTATTTTATTGGAACTTTGTATTTTCTAGAACAGCCTTAAATGGAGAAATGTTTTGCCAACTGAATAATGCTCTAAGGCAGTAATGAATTAAGCAGCATACATTCTGAACTGGTT